ATATATCTATATATATATATATATTCATTTCTCATTGGAGGATTTGTATTTAGTTATCTATGTATCAGTTCACTTGGCAGGCATCTTAATATCATCAAAATAAAACATAAACAGCATTTACAAAATTGTTATTCAAAGATTTTACACACTGAACAATTAAAATCTCCAAATAAAATTAAAAATTACATTAAAATATTAAAAAGACGAAATAAATATCCCATTAAGATCTTAACAGTCTTTAAGGACTCTAATCAACCATATTCCCCCTCAGCCTGAAGTTTAGTTTGTTCTATCATTTTTCAGACAAAGCCGAGGATATTGTTGAAGATAACAGCCCAATAGAGCAGGTCAGATTGACAGTACCCACAACAGATGATCCCACCCTACCAGCATTAACATTCAGGACATGGGTTTTAGGGCTGACGTCATGTGCACTCCTTGCATTCCTGAACCAGTTCTTTGGCTACAGACAGAATCCTCTCTACATCTCTTCTGTATCAGCTCAGATTGCAGTTCTTCCATTAGGGAAATTAATGGCTGCTTATCTCCCCACAAAGAAAATCAGACTCCCTTTGCTTGGTTGGTACTTCACCCTAAACCCCGGGCCTTTCAACCTAAAGGAACATGTTCTCATCACTATCTTTGCAAATTCTGGATCCAATTCTGTTTATGCTGTGAATATTGTAACCATTGTCAAGGCTTTCTACCACAGAAAGCTTCATCCTTTTGGAGCTATGCTTTTGACTCAAACAACACAGGTATATATATATATAAATAGATATACATATATATGTTTGATCTTATCCTCTTAAGATTTTCAGAGATTAAAAGGCAGAAAGAAGAGTTATACAGATAAAATTCTTGCAGGAAATCATTTTTGTGAAAGAAATATTTCCTTTTAAAGCTGATTCTGCATATTTTAATCCTATTATTACTGTTTTCATGGTTAGATGATGGGGTATGGCTGGGCTGGCATCTTCAGAAAATTTTTGGTGGATTCACCTCATATGTGGTGGCCATCAAATTTGGTTCAGGTGTCCTTATTCAGGTATTTAGCCCTTTATTTTTGCTTGATTTTGTTTGGTTAATTGTTTTGGCTGTGTGAACAAAAGTACTGAACCTATGTTAACAACAGGGCACTGCATGAAGATGAGAAGAGACCCAGGCGAGGGCTGACCAGACTACAGTTCTTCCTCACAGTCTTCATCACAAGCTTTTCATACTACATTGTCCCCAACTTTTTCTTCCCTTCCATTACAGCCCTATCCTTCATCTGTTGGATCTGGAAGAACTCTGTCACAATGCAGCAAGTCGGCTCGGGCCTCTATGGGCTTGGAGTTGGTTCCTTTGCCATCGATTGGTCCACCATCGCTGGCTTCCTTGGCAGCCCTTTAGCCACCCCAGGCTTCGCCATCATCAACGTCTTGTTTGGTTTTTGTGTTGTGCTTTATGTCATCATACCCATAGCTTACTGGAACAATGCTTACAATGCAAAGAACTTTCCAATATTTTCTTCCAATGTGTTCATGAGCAATGGAACCCAATACAATGTGCAAACGATCTTGGATGTAAAAACATTCAGTTTTGATCAGCAGAAGTATGATGAATCTGGACCTCTCAATCTCAGCATTTTCTTTGTTATCACTTATGGACTTAGCTTTGCTACTCTGGCCGCCACACTTTCTCATGTTGCCCTGTTTCATGGAAAGTAAGTAGCTTTATTACTGCTATTCTTTTAATTTTTTTTTTTATTATTTTGGAAAGTATGAAATGGGAAAATTTAAGGATTGTATAATCGAAGCAGTTCATGGATACTGTCATTCTTTAGCACTAGAGAGAGGTAGAACTCGTGGGAAAAAATTTACGTACATCAAGGGGTACGCAGAGATGCGTACATAATATGGTACACAGGGTTTATACGAGAATTACAAGGGGGTTATAACCCATTGTACCTCCCGTATACCTCCCGAGTTCAGCTGTAACCCGTGTAACTCCCGTGTAACCCCGCGGGTTACAGCTGAGTTACACGGGAGTTACACGGGAGGTACAACGGGTTATAACCCCCATGTAACCCCCATATAACGCCCATGTACCTTATTAGGTACGCATCTCTGCGTACCCCTTGACGTACGCAATTTTTTTCCAAACTCGTGAGATCACAATGAAGGAAGCTAACTATTGCTCCAAGTCAACTCATTAACTGACCAAATAATAACATTTATTTTTTAAAAATATTATTACAAAACAGTTCAGGTTAACAACTTCATCAGATTGGATTTGTTTCATGAATTTCTAACAAAAATCTTTAATTTTTCTTACCTAATTATAGGACCAACGAAAGTAATTTCTTAAAACTGAAATTTATTCATACAAATTAATATTTTAGGAGGTGAAGTCAATGAAAATCAATTACATGTATCAAAAAATAAGAACATTAAAGATGGATTTACGAAATAATTTAAAAAATGATTTATTACAGAGAAGGTCAAAGTCAAAGTAACATATTAAAAAGAAGGAGGTAAAAAAAACTTATGCAGTTTATGCATCTGCAAGAAAAGATAGAAGATGCTCAATAAAATGGGGTAATAAAATTCAAAGAAAAAATAATCAAGGAAAAAGATAGATTAAAGATAGCATGATCGGAAATATTTGGGTAAACATTTACAAAAAAGATAGTTAATTTCATACAAAATATTCAACATGAAATAATGAATAATCAATATTCATGAAATCAAACTCAAATAGTTGGGATAAGATGAACCATGATGATGATGATGATCTTATTTGATTGCAATTAGTTTTTTGAATTTCCCTTTCTCACAAACAATTTGAACTTTTTTTAATAAGTTTTTCTATCTCAAAGATAGATAAGATACTTATGAACGTGCAAATTGCAGAGAAATATGGAGTCAGACAAAGGCAGCAATGCAAGATAAGTTTGGAGATGTGCATACGCGGCTGATGAAGAAAAACTATGACGTTGTGCCTCAATGGTGGTTCTACACCATTCTGTTCATGATGATTGGCCTCGCCATCTTTGCCTGCGAAGGATTTGGCAAGCAGCTGCAGCTTCCTTACTGGGGAGTTCTGCTTGCTGCTGGCCTAGCTCTTATATTTACCCTTCCAATTGGAGTCATCACAGCCACAACAAATCAAGTTAGTTTATTTATTTATTTATTTTTTATTATTATTATTATTA